CGGAGATCGTGCGTGTCGAGTGCGCGAACTGCAGGCGAGAGTGCGATTGGGTCTGTGCCCGCGCAACCCTCTGCGGAGATCGTGCGTGTCGAGTGCGCGAAATGCAGGCGAGAGTGCGATTTGACCTGTTCCCGCGCAACCCTCTGCGGAGATCGTGCGTGTCGAGTGCGCGAATTCCAGGCGAGAGTAGTACAACTTTAGTACGCGGAGTATCTGGAGAGCTGGAAGATGAGAACTGGCGACTTTCTAGTACAACTTTAGTACGCGGAGTATCTGGGGAGCTGGAAGATGAGAATTGGCGACTTTGTAGTACAACTTTAGTACGCAGAGCAATCTGTGGAGCTGGAAGCTGGGAACTGGCGACTTTGTAGTACAACTTTAGCACGCGGAGTATCTGGGGAGCTGGAAGATGAGAACTGGCGACTTTGTAGTACAACTTTAGTACGCGGATGAGTCATCTCTCGCGGCTGCTCTGGCGCCCCTGCAGCTGAGTCATGTCTCCCGACCACCCGGCTCTCTTGAGAGGTTGACACACACACACACACTCTGACATTGGTTTTCAGTTAACTCAATTCCCAGGAGAAAATGGCGATGGAACGGAAAGGTGAAAGAGTCGGCGCAATTGTATTGTTGAACAATGTTTATGCAAGACTGCTCCAGCAAAGCTTAAAAGTTAAGCAGGTACAGGTGGATGATCAGTCCACCCCTCCCTCGTCATACCGTAGCTTCGTTGCGTACGGTGGGTGGGTATGACGAGCCGTACGCCCCTGCCTTTTTCCGCATCCCTGCCTCTTCGTGCTCAAGTAGTGGCGAGCTCTGGGGCTCTAGAAACCTCTAGTTCCTAGTAGCAAGGCCAAGAGCAACCAGCCCTCTAGAAACCGACTAGGCACAAACCTTAGGAACAGGTGTTAACACACAGTCACAGAGACCCATACACACACAGACATAGATACACACACACAGAGACCCACACACTGCCTCAACTCACTCGACTTAACACTTCACACCGAACACTTAACAGAACAGAAAACTCACACTCTGACTTCCTACGTGATGAAAAATGCTTTCGGGCCACTTGTCGTCTAGTGGTGTTCCTTTTGCTAGGATCTAATTAATGGAGTTGTGAGAGGTGTCTTCGTTTGTTAAACCATGTTAAGCCCATGAAGGAGGACGACTCGAAATAGAGTCTTAGATGACTTGTGAGGACTTCATTGGCTACAGCACACGGCCCACACAGCCTCCGCATTCGAAACCGGCTTGCTTCGCACCCTTCGCACCTCACGGCACTGGGAAAGGAAATGGACTTGTTGATGCTGCTGCCAATGTAGGAGGTGTCGGATCGGTTGAGGGTGACCTCCATGGCATCCAACTTGTTTTCCAAGCCCATCATCTGCTGAAAGAGCTTAGCTTTCATCTCCTTGACGGTCCTGGTCGTCTCCTGGACAGCCAAGTATGGTCGAGTTCTAGTTCTTGCTTCGATCGGGCGGTCAAATGGTCAAATGGAAGCGGTCTTTGGTCGTTTTGAATTCCTCAGGGTCGTCAGCTCAGCAATATGGCTTTGGGTCCAAGACTGTAGCCTCTCAAACCTCCTAGGAAAGAAACAAATTATAAAACATGGCTCCCCGTGGAAATTTGGGCCTTGTTTATTATTGACCCATGCCTCTCAGTGAGCCATCGACCCCAAGTTAAAGCAAGTCAACGCACTGTCTCATCTGCACCTCCTTCAATTCGCTCACCATATTCTGCACCGCTTTGGTGGCCAAGTAGGACCTGTGCAGGTCGCCACACCAGAAACCAACCCAAACCGCAAAAACAGGAACCACAAGCGTCTGCAAGGCAAAGGAGCTGGATCTAATATGGTCTTTAAAACAAAAGCAGCAACAACCACCACCACCACCACCACCACAACAACAACAACAACCCACAACCCACAACCATCAACAACCAACAACATCAACCACAACCACAGCCACAACAACAACAAGTCCACAAAATCGGTCAACTGGCCATGCTTGGCTCCCAACATGTTTGCCTTCCTTTTTGCAACTACACTGGCTCCCATAAACGTCGGATTATTGAATCCATCAATCCGAGATCAACTCCGACTCCAAAGAGAGACCTTTGGGACCAAGTCACGCCACGGTGTCACTCTTGTTCACTTCACCTAAGCCATCCAAACGGTCCGCGTCCAGTTCGAGATCGCAGCAGCAGGCAAACGCGATCGTCAAAGACTTGGAGCTACTAAGGCTCCGGCAAACCCATATTAAAACAGGATTAAGCAACCACCCCCTATTAATCAAGCCCAGCTCAAGCCCCCAATACTAAACAAAATTAAAGCCTGAATTCCACATGTACATCACCCTAATAGTTTAGTATCCCTACCAGAAACCTCCCCCTATTAATCAAGCCCAGCTGCCCCTGCCAACAAAAAAAACACATTGCTTACTATTATAATATATCATAATTACAGTATGTTTATTTACCATAAGGCCAGCATCCAATACCTTCTGGTCAGCATCCATTGTTCCACAATCCCTAAAAACCTCTCTAGCAAAATTTGTTCAACACTCCGTCAAAACTCTAACAACATTTTCTAGCTCACAAAGGGTACCCCTCTCACAGGCCTCAGTGTTCACACAGAATCATATCAACAAGGTCATAACCTTTATATAAGGGGATGTGGTCTCCATATACCTCCAATCTCAAACCTTATTGACCTTGTTGACCTTGGGGGGGCGCCGTTTATTAATTCGGTGTTGACATTATACAGCTCTGGCTGTGGAGGAGAGTCACTGGCTCAATGGCTTCATCTGATTTCCATGTCTGAGGTGGACCCCGGAGGTGGTGGCCCCACAAACACAAGCGACCTTAGTTGTCCACTCCATCCCGCCTGCCCCCGTCGACCGGCGAGGGAAAGCTGTGTTTCATGAAGCACGGAGGTGGGCACGACTTTTCCTGGGCAAAAGCCGGGTGTTTACAGTAATTGCTTTAGGGCCTTGGAGGTAATTTAAATCGCTCCAACAAGACTTTAGGCTCATCAGCAAGATATAGATTCTGCCCACCTCTTGTGTCACAGTCGCACCATCCAACCTGTCCGAAATCCTGCGAGCCAGTGGCCGCGTATCTTCAGCAAGCCATGTAAGAGCTCGGCCATTTCCAAGGTCCCACTACCATCAGCATCCTAGGTTGTGTAGGATGCGTTTGGCTCGAACGCGCGCCATGGGCGCTTGCCTCATGGTCCACGCTTTTGGGGTCAAGGTGAGCACCGAAATCCAAGAATCGGAACTCGATCTGTATGGACATATGCATCCCCGCAAAAGGACCAGCGCATCGGCGCATGTCAAAACTTGGCGAACGACGACCCGATATCAACCAAACATTATAAGTGTTGTGTTTTTGATGTTACTGGCATTGGATGCGGGGCAAGATTGACGATCCACTACTATAGAAAAGCTATTCAGCCATTCCTGATTCCGGGCCTTTGCCTTCGTCAGCCTGTTTATGCTTGCAGGGATTGGTTTGTGGCGTTTCATCTGGAGGAGGTTGAGTTAGATGTCAAGCAAATGAACACCTCTACATGTAGAACTTCCACAACACCCCCTTCATCTTCTGTCACTGACGTTAGAAGCAAGACTAGGTAAGGCGAGGTGCCATTTCAGTTTGATGAAGAACACATGATAAGGTAGCAACTCAATGCCATTCAGAGGTGCGGTTAGACTTAAATATAAAACACGCATATAAACAAATTGTCTCAAGATGTCTCAAGTCGTCTCAAATCTTGTGAGCCCGAGAATTACAAGCAAAACTGAACAAGTCTCACCGCCAACCTAGAACATATGCAGCCACCTAATGCATCCCTCTCCCTGCCACTCATTTACTGGCATTTGGAATGTGCACATGAGGCAAAATTACACTATCACTATCTGACTATCTGTGCCAATTTGAACTCGCTCCTGACATCCAATATGTTTCGCAGCCAATCTTTTGGTTCTTCAAAAGGGGGGGTCGCCCGACACCGTCGCTTCTTGGCTTCGCAGCTTCCTGCGACCCGAGACACGATGACTTCAAACCTGAAGCCGGTGACGAGCAGCGCCGGAGCTGCGATCAGCGAGCCAACCGGTGTGGTGGTGATACAGCACTCACAAAGAGAACACTGAATCCGGCCTCATGAGAAAACTTTTTTTGGCATAAAGGCACCTCCAGAAATGGCAGCTTAGAATCCTCAGGCATCCTCCGAAACGTTCATCTACTCAAGCCGATCTGTGTGAAGGGCAGTGCACAACCCCAAAGCTGGCTAGCGGCTATCTGCAAGCGCTGCTAGCTGGGTCTGCAGTTCATGGGCTGTCCTCCAGTGGTGTTTTGTTGGAAGTACGGATCTCCTGATTTGTATGGAGTCCCGTGGCAATCAAAAACCAAAAACACCCTAAATTTACATCTGGAAGCCCTTGCAGTGATGCATGGAGGGGACTCGCCAAGGCTTGGCATGTCGAAGAAAAGGGTGGTGAGGGATAGTGAGGGCGGGGTAAGGGCCGGCTAGGCAAGCCTGGAAAACAACTGGACATCAAACATCCTGATTGAAAAAACAACATATGAACCAATCAGAAAAAAACATACTAACAATACATTCAACCAAACATATACAAATATCCTTGTATCCTTGTCAGTACAACTACAAATACATACAAATACATTGAACCAACATGACTCCTGGGACGGTCACTAGCCACCGTCCCGACCTCTTTGGAGTGGGCCTAAGGGATGTCAGCTCCCAAACCACCAGGGGATCAAAAGGTCACTGGAGTATGCAATAGTCGCCACTTCCAAGCCAAGTCTCAATTTGCTTATATTAGCATCTTGAGACTTTAGACATCGTGGATCAGAAATGGTCAGAAGCCCTGGGAGTCGAACAATCCCAAGTCAACATGCAAAACAAATCTGGCGATTGCTTATGAGCCATTGGAGTGTCTAATTTTCAGGAAAGAAAGATCAACACCACCACATCAGTCATGTGGCAAATTGGCACGGTCGGGTGGTAGGTCCAGTTCATCCATTAGCCGTTGGATCTTCTTGTCCTGAATGACCAGCAAGAAAAGCTCCTTGCCACGTGTCAATGTCCGAGCAACAGTGGTCCGTCGCCGTTCAGTGAAACGATCGGTGGGTGGTTGGCTGCTTGCTTCTTTCTTCTCGGGATGGCTGACAAGGCAGTGCGGCACACTCAATGTTTGACAAAATCAGGGAGTTATTGTTGATGGGATGTTCCAGAAGCAACTGCCAAGGTCCATCCTCAGCATCCCAACTGCGAACACGGATTTTCACTCCAGTCGCTGTCAGCATGGGTTGACCTTCCAAAGGTCTGCACCTGTTCCCATGATTCATTGGCTCGGTATCACTATAGTGGTGATTTGCACATGTCTTTACACCACCGCTTCATGAAGGGTCGTAAATGTCATCTCGTATCGTCTTGCCTTGCTGATGTTGATGTCGGTCATGAGATCTTCGGTCAGCAAGGCCGCCGAAGGCAATTTCCGGAGACTGCCCTTGTGAGCAGGCGTCCCATTCTCTTCCTCAGTCAGTCTCCCCCAAATGAAATCAAAAACCCGGCACAAATCCAAGCGAAGGGAAGTTTGGAGGAATCGGAGAGACGCATGATGGAAGTGCTTCAACTTTTGGCTGTGGTTGAGATGAATGATTTATCAGTGGGCAAAAAGTTAGAATCTCAATGCTATAACCCTTCCCAGGGCGATGGATCTATACACACTATAGATTACGTTTGAGAAACAGTGTCATGGGCGTCCGATCGTGGGCTTCCCACAATGTGGAAGCCTTCGCGAAGCTTTCGACAATCTCTCTCCCCAAGCGAATTTGCCTATGCGAAGGTGCTGTACGATGTTGTATGTAAGAGGTGCTTTCGCGAAAGGCTTCGCAGGGTTTTATGTTAGCTTCATTCTACTACAACGTACATGTATGAAAAACACAGCCTTCGCAAACGCCTTCGCAAAGAAACACATTATATAGATTCTACGCGAAATGGCTACGCAAGCCTTTGCACATGATGAACACGTGAAGAAATGCTTTCGCAACCATGAAAAGAGTTCCCCCTAACATGTATGTAGCGCCGTGTTCCAGGAAAAAAGCACAACTCACATGCCTTTAGGAGCCCATCAAGTGTCAAGCACAGGAATGGCCTTCATGGCCGGAACGGCCCTCAGCGATACCTCTGCTGGAATCATCTTGAGCCTCCCCTTCTCTCGCGCTCTTTCCTTCTTGCTTTCAGTGCTACACTGAAACAAAGTACCAATCTACTCCGATCTGAGTTTCATAACTCCCTTGTTCTGAGCTGGGCCTTGGACCAGCTCAACACACCATGGACGCCCAGGGGCCATGTCGATGAATGCGTGGTACGCCGCCACAAAACGTTTGAGAAGCTCACGCGTGGTGCGAGCGATTCGGATGGATTCCCGTGAGTAGGCCTCAGTGGCTCAGATCGTCGTCGTTGGGTGGACCCGAATATGGTCCCGTTGTGGTTCAACGCGGCCTGTTTGAGATTTCGGCCGCAGCTTCCTCCCCATGCGGTTGTATCATGGAGGCTTGAACTTCAATCTGCTAGTTCCATATTTTAGTCTATATAAGCTTGGCAGCATTTGCATGGCAATAAGCACCAGTGATCATCATGGAGCAATTTCATCATTTCATTGGCTACCCTAGCCGCTCAGCTTTTTGCATCTAGGGGACTTCGGCTGTTTGCACATCATTCTCCTTGGCCGCTCTCATCGTGATATCAACCTGCAGTGGTTTTCCATCGCATAAAAAACGCCAAAGGCAAAGGAGTGTGATACTCCAATAGGTGTCGCTCTTGAATGTATGATCACAATAATAGTTACAGGTTGCGAATGATCGTGGATTCTTTATTGCATTTGAAAAGCTCCTAACAAAAATATCTTACTGTAATGCATCATGCACCCTGCTGACGTGATTCTGCTTGTGCGACTGTTGCCCAACTGCTGAAAGAACTCCCAAGTGTAAAAAAAAACGTCGATAAATTACACAACATGCCAGGTGGAGTCTCAAGGTTTAAAACCTTCTTCACTTTCTTTTGGCTGTGCAGGGGGGCGCAAATAGCCTCACGGCCGAACCCAAACTCTAAAGGGATGCATTCTAAGCAGTATGAGCTCGACAGCTTTCAAGAAGCCTGAAATCTTTTGGAGGAACCCTTCCAAGAAGCTCCTGACATTGGAGTGCTTGCCTCTTCAATGCCACTGCATGCCAAGTGCGGCTGCGAAAATGTACAATCCAGGGACTCACTGTGTTATTGGCCAACCAAAGTGCAGAACAAGGCGCATAGACTGCCAAAATCACATTGAAAATTCCTCGGGCACAAAGCTTAAGGAAAACTATGCAACCCAACCATAGAGCTTAACTTCCTCATTATCGTGATTGTTATCGTTACCGCATTCGCTGATAATTGCTGTGTTGTTGTGAATGTGGTTGATTGTTGGTTGCTTGCTGTGGATTGAGGGTATTGCACACTCGGACATAATGGTTGATATTGATTGTGGTTGTTGTGCTTGCTGTGGTTGGGTTGTGGTTGTTACTAGACCCTTACCAATGTTGTGGTAATGTTGTTGCCTTGGTATGCCTTGGTGCAGTTGAGAGAAACCTAGTAGTTGCTCGAGGTTTCTTCGTTTCTTTGATCCGGGACGTTCCGGCCATGGTCCTTCGCCCGATCGACCGAGCCGTTTTGCTCGCCCGTGACCTGGGTGGGTCGAGAGTTTCGCCGAGCGTCCCATGGTCACCAACATGTAACTGGCCACATAGGCCAGCTGGAAGGGTAGGCCAAATCTCTCGGACAACATGAATGGAATCGCATGGCCATGCTCAGTGACCTGGGCGGGGTCACAGCCAGGCTTCGGCGAGTGGGGAGGAGTCACAGGTGACACGAAACTCGCCAGGTGACACTGTTGTGGGCTAGTCAAGTGGGATTTGCAAACTGACGGGTGCTTCACCTCTTGCTATCCATCTTTGTGCCTGCTACCTGCCCCTTCCACAAAGCAGTCATCAGTCCAACATTCCGGGTGATCTAGTGCCGCTATGCCGCACATTCACCGTTGAAGCAGCGAAAGGCTGTGAACATGGTGGCAGGGATCGTGTCAAAATAGCCTGAAAACCGCTGAAAACCAAGGATCATGCTGGCGGAGCCACGGACTTGATGGTGTGGTTTTCTCATGGCAAAGCGACGCAAAAGAACATGACGGAGCATATTCCATGGACTTGCAAACGAGACTGCCTCCAGCCACTGAACCACCAACCGGCCCAAATGCTCGCATTTATTTGGCCCAACGAAAAAACTATCTTGCAGGTGCTGAGTTATAGAATATTAACTACTACATATTCATTAAAGATAATGCGTGCAACAAAAACAATCGATTGCAGTATTAAGAGAACATGTTACTTATAGTTACAGTAATAGTTTTTGCATTGGTGTTGCTGATCCTAAACTTGAACTGTTCGATGAAAGAACCAAGGGAAATCAAACGTCTTCACCAATTATAGCGGTTTTGGACCGGCCACAGCCATATGTGTCATTTTTCTTCCTGCCGTGTTCTTCAGCAAACATGGCAAGCCACGATCCAATCCAATCTGCTGCGTGATGGGATCCTGACCAATGGAGATCGTCATAAATCCAGCGATGACGTAGAGCACCGCCTAGGTGTTCGTCAAGAGCACCGCTGCGCTTTTCCAGCACCGGAGGTTCACTCCGACGAAGCCACATCGAAGTGCAGTCCCTAATAGCGTCCGATCGCTCCTTGTAGCTTCTTGCTCCTAGTAGTACGGCCAGGAGCCCCTAATAACGGCCCCTAATAACGTCCTTGCTCCTGGTAGCCACCTCTTGGTCGAGGAAGATATCTCTTCCCATTTGGCCATGTACATCCACTTCCAAAGGCCATTGTGTTCAGTTAGTTCTGAGGGTTCTTTGGATAGCCCACACATGGGTTCTATGACCCACACAGGTTGGGGTGGCTGAGAGCATTGAAGGTGGTGATCTTCCAATCTTCCACCCTAGCGACCTTTAGACCACTTTAGACCCCTCGATGCGTCGTGGAGTTGACATGAGTTCACATTGGGTCGAGGTCAAAGATTCCAACCAGTCTTCAAGTCAAAGGTGTAAAGAAACAATATATACTATATAATATATATATACCCTAGCTTTCCTAAAGCGGTTTTTTAAAACAGTGTTTTATAGAAAGCCGGTTTCCACAGAATTGGAAACGTCCTTTCAGAGAAGGATGCAATTTGCTACCTCAAACATGCCGTACTGTCATGTTCTGTCATGTTCCCACAACAGGCCCACACACACTCAATCACAGCCATTTTCCACTAGCGCCACACATCGAAATAGCACCATACCACAGCGAATAGTGGTTCTCAACGTCTTTCGACCCGGGTCCTTAACACGGCACAGAAAGGGCAAAGTCTTAAAGAGCTTACAAAGCACCAAGGCCAACAAACATACACAGTTTATGTCAGGCCATGATTAAAGCCAGGGTCTTCCTCCGTTCCACGCAATGCTTCATAGTGCGAAGCCTCTCACAAAGTGATGTGAAGATATGTGAAGTTCATAGACGACTGCACACAAATTGAGCACTGTTCAGGGCCTGAGTTTGGTGCACTTGAGGAGCCACATGTGTCGATGCTTGGGATGGGATTTGGCTGCTATGCCTCAGCCAACAAAGAGAAATGCATCACCTTCACACAAGAACCCACTCTAGGACATCACCTTTCACAAGCACCCACACTAGATAGGCAAGAAGCTTTTGAGCCAACGCATGGCGTCTTCATCCACAAAAGTATGCATATAGCGATGGTTTGTCCCTCGGCGCAACACTGTGCTCAACAACAGATGCAGTACATGCTTGGCCAGCACACAGGCAGAAACACTTAAGCTTAGCAAGTTCATGTGCCCAGGAACTGTACCGAAGCGCATCTTTGCACAGGTGGGCCATGACCTAGCGCGCGCTAGGCTAGACCAAGTTAGACCACCGCACACGCAAAAGAACACAATGCACCAGGCACTGCAAAATTCACAGGTAGGGACGGTAGGGAGCACCAGCCAAGTCGCATGATGCTTGGGCTTCATCAGCCACCGGCTCTTTCCCAACCTGGAAGAATAATTGAGGATTGATTGATTGATTGATTGATCGACATACATGCAAACTGGAACCTGCAACACTTGACCTCTTCCCGACACTGCCCAGCCTGATGTATTCTGCACATAATATTGAGTGGAGGTCCAGATAGCGCATACCAGCATCGTGAAGTTCTCGGGCTCCGCTTTCCGGCCTTGCGCAGCTTGGGGCTAGACAGGGACTAGTCTCTTGAACTTCATGCAACTGGAAAAAGTACTCCAATCTAGTGTGTGATTTGAGTGGTGGTTCATGAGCATGGTCTTATTAATTTCTAGAAATACAATGTCGATATATTCGATCTAGCTTAACTCTTGAATCCAAAAGACTTCACCCGAAAGGTTTAAACTTACATGGCCCAACAATCCATCCACATTGTGGCCAGAGAGCAAAAAGCGTCCATGGTATTCGCTGATTCTGAAGAAGTTGGCCATAGCACTCCTCATGAGGACGACAGCTCTGGGGACTGGGCATACCGGAAGATGAACCAAGGATGTGGACGTTTTTGATTCTCGATTGCTAGCTGGGATTTAAATACTACCGATTCTGTCGAAAAAGGCTTAACACTTTAATCTGGGGAGTGTGTCGGAACATGTCGGAACATGACATGACCGAACATGCTAGATCGGCAGGTTTGAGGTAGCTACGAAGGACATGTCCAGAATCAACGAAAGCAGGTTTTCTCATCGAGATTGATGAAAGATACAAGATTCCTTCATACCCAACCCCCCCAAAAGAAAACACACACACACACACACCAAGAGTCATTGCTGCACTGGTCAGTATGAGAAGTTCATGATCCGGGTGTTGCTGAAGCACCACCAGCAGGGTATGACTCAACCAACTCAAAATCAATCGTCCGTTGAAAGCTTTTGCGGTGAGCAGCTCGGTGCCATCTTTCTTCTTAACCTGAGGCCAGCAGGGGTGAAGGAAGCTGGCCAAGAGGCTGCACAAGCCAAGGACCCAAAAAAACCACCTTTGGCAAGCTAGGTAACCATACGGGGCAGAAACGGAGGTTGTGAGTGCTTGATCCTTCTGGCGCGGCAAAGCCCTACAAAGTCCCGGTAGGCTACATCCAATTGCTCAGCAAAGGTCCCAGCACCATAATACTGAAAGTCCTCACAGAGCAAAAGCCTTGGCCAAGTCATGTGAACAGGACGTGTCCGAACACTGGGAGACTGGGAGATTGCAGCCTTTGCCACCAAATGCAACTTTGGAAACAGTTGACACTTTGCTGCATGATTGGGCAAGCTACAGAGCGCCGGCGTTGCATGCGTACAAAAGGCCCAAGTTCAGAGCATGCATTGAGCAAAACCTAATGACTCCTGGGTGAAATCCTTCCAGTGTCAGCAGTGGGCCTGAGTTTGAAGTCCATGTGTTGACTGTAAAAATGGCAAGCGGTTTAAAAACAGACTTCACATGCTTTTTGATGGGTGGAGTGATTGGATCAACAAACAATATAACAAAGTACCGAATTTGCACAAGGTTCGCAATTGGTTCTCTTTGAGCCGTCGTGCAATGAACTGCTCTAGGCCAAACTCTTCGTGGATCCAAACACTGGTGGGGCTGTTGTTGTAGTATACACGCGCGTGGTCACCTCTGGTGACAGCCGTGCAGCGAAAACAGACTAGTTGACTTTGCCACGAGGCAGTGAACCTCCAGGTGTCGCGGTGAAATTCCCAGTCACCGCGCAACTCGGTGACTGCAAATTTCCAATGTGAGCGGCACAAAGGCAGACCTGCACGGTCAAAGTCAAGACCTGTAAGTGGACCTCCACCTGGCGATGTGGTGGGATTGATACCGTTGAATGCACAGTTCAGACTCCAGACAAGGCGTTTCCAGACCACGTTCATGGTTCGATTCTTAATCAGTTTGTCACGCGCAATTGAAAACAGAAGCCACCTCGAGTGGCGGACACTCCTTGGCCGGAAGAGTGGCAAGTTCAGGAAGACACCTACGACTTTTTCAACACGGACTTGTGTCCATAGACGAGCACCGTCACCGTGGATGCCAATAGGCATGTGGTCACGCGATGCAGAAGAAGCGCATGCCCAAGGCTCGCGCATCCCACGACAATGATCCCAATATGAATTCACACCAGCGCGAGACATCTCCAAACCTACCTCATCAAAAAGGTAGGTCAAGATCCGGTGGGGATGAATAATGGGGAACTCCTCCACTTTGGACTTACGAGCCACCTTCTTATCGAACACTGGGAGCCGGATAGTCTCGATTTCCTGAATCAAAGTGATTTTTTGCCTTGAATTTAATCATTTGCAAGTACCTCCTAGTCCTAGTACTCCGAAAAGCTTTCCAAAAACAAACGCCAAGTAACAACCGGGATGTCTGCAAAACGCCAGAAATCACGTACATCATTTTTTTCCAGATCTTGTACCCAGTGTGAGTGTGTCTGGATGAACTGCTGATCCGCTTTCCTTAGTGATCAGCAGTTGTTCCCATCATTAGCTATCTCGAGAATAAGCCAGTTTGGTGTCCCAAAAACCTCAAATCTCAGTTGAGATCGATCCAGTTAATGTACAAGCTTGGGGGCTGGGAGGCCAAACCAAAAAGCATCCCACACCATGAACACAGCCGCCCCCCCTGATCTCAGCTCCCAGGATCTGCAACATGATCTCGAATGCGGCGCATCACTCGCTTCACAGAGGATGCCTTGGCAGTGTTTGGGATTGAAGATGGGTTGGACTGTTGGGTGGGATGGGTGGGCATTGTTGCCTGACCTGTCATTTGTTGAAATTGTTCTTGGGCGTGATCTCAACACCAGTCGACTCCGACACTTTCTGTTCGCCAACGGACACCCGAAGCAACATCATCGTAGTGCCCTTCCAATGCTCTTGCCACAGTACGATCTGCGCAGTGAAGCGAAGTCGTTTGAGGTTCCTTGTGGTTTATTGCATTCCCAACTAGCTAGTGACCTTCAACACACACACACATGTTCACAAGGAACGTCCACATGAAACAATCTGCATTTCAAGATCTAGTGGATAAGCCCATACATGATGTTTCTTTTCACCCTGAGCTGGTCAACATTGCGCAGTTTAAATCATCCCCAAGTCCTGGCTCCCAGTGGATGTTGGCACTCAAAAAAGAAAACAATAATTCATATTTTGACAGACCACTAATCAGGCTGTAGCTAGGCCGGATGACGGGTTGATACCGAAAGAAACCCAAAACACTATGGATCGATGGTCGATCAGGTCTGGAATCACCACAACCACATTGCTCAGGACAATGCCTCAAAACTACACGGTTTGGTGTGCCGTGCAGCGTGCATCTACGGACTGGTTCCTAAGATGCATTGATCAACGCATCATACCAATCCTTGATGCCCCCTTTCAAGATCTACTTAATCTTGTATGCAGTTAGAAACTGCTGGAATGATGTACCAGCTTCGCCGGCTTCAGTGATCATCTCAGGCATCCTTTCCAAATTGCCAACCTGAAGCGCGACCCATGGTCCCCAATGATCAAATGACACGCACTTGCACGATGCTAGTTGTTTTAAGCTAATTTGCATTCCAAAAGCCTGTATTCTCACCGCCGAAGTTCAAACAAAGCTTTATAGAAGATCTTCGAAGTTCGATTTGAACCCTTGATCGGCCTTGGCCGCATCGTATGATTTTTGCAACTTGTTTCTGGCACTGCGCATTGCCACGATGTGGGGCTTGACCTCCGTCAAGATCGCATCTTGCACAGATTTGCTCCTGAGTTCAATATAAGCAGTCATGAAGGGAACCGTCACAGAGCTCTATCAATCAATGTTCATCACCAGTGGCTGCACTAGCTATAGCCCTTGGTTTGTCAAGTTGTGTGATTGTGATATAAAATTGAACAGCCCCAAAATCAGACTGACACAAATGAATGTTTTAGCTGGTTGATCAACCACAAATCCTACTGCTGAAGACTCGACCCAGTTTGGTTGGCCAAGGCTCATCGTGTGAAGCTTGTCCTCCAGGCTTGTCGCGGTCGCAATGTAGTTGTTGATCTTTTGCAATGCCTGGCAGAGTTGGGTCAAGTGGGAAGCCATCTCAATGAAGATTGCAATGGATATGAGTGGATGCACGCAATACTTTTTACATGTAGAATCCAGAATCCAGCTTCATGGATGACCCCAAGCGCCAGAACAATCACTGGGGGGGGGCGAGGGGATGACACCAAGCACTGGAAAGGTCCCAGCCTGGGTTCCTTTGCGCTGGTCTTTCTTAAATTCTGTATTCTTTTCTTTCTCCGCTTCCTTCTGCGCCTTCAGTTTTGCTGCGGCTTCTTCCTTCTCCTGCTTCTTCTTGGCATCTTCAGCCTCCTTGAGCTCTCGCTTCCTTTTCTGTTCATCTGTCTCCTGCTTTCCTGCAGGCTTCTCCTCACCTGAAGGCTTCGCCCCATCCTCCGAGCACTCCTTGTCCATCTTCTGCTTTTTGTCCTTCTTGTCACTCTTGTTCTTCGAAGACTTCTTGGATTTCTTTCCTTTCTTGCGCTTCTTCTTTGCCTCTGCATCCATGAGTGGAAAAGAACACAGTCATTAAAATACAGGCAATGGGTGCACGGCCAGTGGGTTGTGAGCCTGAACCCTGCTTCACCCTCCACTAAAATAGCAACAGTGCGAGTATATGTATGACAGTGTATCCATGGAATGTGCTTGCACGCATGCGTGCATGCAAGTTGTACTCCGGCCTCACTGGAAGACGAAGAAGCTGATGAGGAATCATCAGAGTCCGCTGCGGAGCTGTCATCAGATGATGATGATTTCCTTTTCTTTTTGCTGTCTTTCTTCTTGGCCTTCTTCGACTTTGACTTGTTGTCAGTCACGGAGTCGCTGGCACCATTCTCTGCAGCCTTGAAGAGCTCTGAGCAGACAGTGTCCTCACTATCTTCTGATCCCTCACTGTCCCACACCAAATACTGGCGGGTTTCCTGAGGATGTTCAGGAAACACAAGACGAAATGGACAACCCTGGGGCCATGTAGTCAGCACATTAGCCCTGGGAGTCAAAGACTATAAAAATAGAATGGTCTTTAGTCTTTAGGTGACCCGAAAAGGAATATCCTTTACTTCAGCCGGTCAAAATATAGTCTTTGGACTTCTACAGTACGTTAGGTTGAACACAGAATAAAGAAAAAGAAGCTTTAACTAAACTCCGAAGATTCCGGCGTGTCAAGTCCGTGCAAATCCGGATGCGCGCGGATCTGATTCCGCTTTGCATCCTCGTCGTGTTCCTTTGCACTGATGATGGCCTCGGCGACGGTCACCGAACCGAACTTCTGTACTAGTTCGGATTTCGTCATCCAAACTCTCCTTCCAAATTGGCGGGACCTGCGGGAGCGCTTCAGCTCGATGTAAAAGTCGCTTTGCGACCAGTGCCCTTCACAGGCAGTCCATTGCTCTTGAAGAAGTTGAAGTTTTTCATGGTCCCTGTGGGCGCTGGCCCCTGCCCGCCTAATCTCCACGGGCGTACGCTTGCCTCAGGCCACATGCATTGTTCCCGAGCGCATGGCATGTTCGGGGGAACAGCAAAATTTGGAAAGCCGCCATTTCAATTATTGATAGATCAATGACAGCCCACTATGCCAAGGACCTCGATCCATACAACTTGATTAAAATCAATTCTCCTTTTTTGCAAAGGCACTCTTGAAAGAACGCGAGAAGCGCATATATCTCGCGTGGGCTTCTCTCTTCGCCCTCAATCTCTCCTCTTCTTTTTTCCACTTCTCATCCTTCTCATCGTCTTCCGACGACTCCTCAGCCTCCTCATCAGGATCCTTTTCGGATACGGCCTTTGCACACTTTTTGTCAGCCTGCTGAGAGGAGGCTTTGGGATCCGGTCTGGCCGGTTTGGCCACTCTGGCCACCAATTCAGAAGTTGACTTTCGCTTCAGGCATTCGCTCACTGCCTTGGCAGTGTCCGGTGTCATGACTTCACTTGCAGGCTCCACCTTGGGTGGTGCTGGCTTGGCAGCCTTGGCCTTCACAGCCGTGGCAACTTGTTTGCTGCCAGAAGATGATCCTGCCACTTCTACCTGCTCAGGTGCCAAGATTTGCTGGCTCTGACTCCTTTGGGGCAGCTTGGGTCGCTTGGGTTGGGAGGATTTCTCCTCATCTGCTGGTGCAGTGCCTGCTTTGGGTGAAGGTGTCGTCAATGCGTGCCGACCCAACGCTTGCCGTCCTCTGTTGATTTCCCTCCTCACCTCTTCCTCTGTAGCTGGCACCGTGGTGGCCGTTGATTCTGGCAGCGTGCACATCAGGTGAGCAAAATTTAAAAGGTAACTAGTCGATCAATGGTTCCAGTATGCTGACGAAATTGATTGAGACAATTAAGGACCCATGGATGCAATGATTATTAATGATTAGCAAACAAACTCATCATGTTTTTCAGGACATGATGACTAGATCAGACAAACTGGGGGGGTATTTGTCAAAGATTGATTGGTCACAAGTCTACAGGGCACTGCTTTTGTTTTGGAGATCACATCTTTCCCAAACAATTCAACAGATCAAACTCAATCAACCCTAGGTCGATCGATATAGCCATGCTAGAAGTTTTGTTTCAAGCAAGTGTGCCCGGCAGGTGGATATATAGCATATGGCTTTAGCGCACGCAACTTGGTCGCAAGCTGCACGGATGGTTCACGCGGCACCAGCCTGCATCCGGTGGGATAAGAGGTCAAAGTCTTTTGTTCTTCTTCGGCACATCTTGTTCCTGAGTCTTCGCAGTCCTGGGAGGACTTGGGATGGATGGAGATATAATTTATATTAGACCTGGGAGTGACACGGCTTAATCTGCAAAGAAGAAGGCCAATTTCTCAACAAATGTTTACCGACATGGCGACATGGACTGTTTCAAACTTTTGTTGAGTTGGCACGGCTTACTTCCCCCCAGTCCTGGCCGAATCCTCAGGCTGTACCTCTTCAGCCGCCCGCATTTTCCTAAGGGCTGCTCTTTGTAAAGCCTTCGACACATCAATACTATCCGCCATGGGCAAAATATGTGAACCTGCCCCTAGAGCCTCAAAATCCTGTCATGTGCGAGAGGTATTTGGTGGTGGCATAATCCAATCAAGACCATCACAAAAATCATTGATTTTTTAGGGTTTTTGGGGGTAAAGCCGTTCACGGCTAAAAACGTCCTTTCACGGCTAAGAACCTCCGTTCACGATCTATTCACGCTCATTCACGCGTTTTTTCACGCTACTACTTGTGTGTGAACTCCCATGGTTTTGATCTGTTTCGATCATATCAGCATGTGCACACACAGTAATTGAGAACACCAGTTTTGTGCCGGTTTTATTTGCATGTCACACCTGCAATCCAGCCTTTCTACCCACCCGAGGTTGCCCGACCAAAGGATCAGTGCTTACATTGCATGATTTAGGATGATCAAACTTCAGGGCATCCCAAGGTGGCATTGATCAGGCTAATTAGCAAGCAAATTAAGGTCCCGGAGTATAGGATGGTTGAACCACCTTGATCAATCAAGACCTCCACTGATGACCGGGTGATACCGACCAGCTTTCTTTTCACTGCTCAAAAACTCCTGCAACTCAGTGAGGCAAGCATGTCGCCAGCGATACGGTGCCTCCCAAACAAACAAACAGTTCACAGACCGATCGAAATTCAGAATTCTGGCTAATTGTTTCCTCGTTGCACTCAAAGCTGGTTTGCAAGCTTGCCCCGCCCCCAGTAGCCCAGCCTTAGTGGCCCTTGATACCAGCTCTTCGTTGAAGCGGCTATGAGGTGGATACAGGTTCTCGCGCAGGGCCTCCACATTTCCATCTGTCTCCTTGGAGGACGAATGGGAATTTGGAATCAGGCATGATTTATTGGCCAATTGGGGACATCGAATTCTGATTTTTTGGGGGGGGCCGACGAAATGCCCAACAAGGTTCTTTCCATTTCATGTGAAGGGATCGAACTGCATGGCCAAAAGCAGCAGGATACACTTGCGTTGCCTTCAGTCGCTGAGTCAATCCACACCTGGGCGAGGCAAACTCCCAATCGCTGATAGGAATTCAGGGTTCTGCCAAATTCTGAAACCAATCCAGAAACCAAAGGGTTGCTGAGTCTAGCGCACTCTGCGGCGGCCAGATTTGTCCATATACTTTCGAACAACCTTCTTAGACTTGCCCACCCTCTGTCTCACAGCTGGTGTGATCTTTTTCCGGAGTTTGTAGGACCACGGACTCAGTCACAACACGACAAAGGTTGTTTTGATGCACAATTTCGGGTTTCAATTTGTTGGAATTGAGGGCCCAGCGCTGTGCCAAAGACCATAGTTGGTTTCATATTTGCATGGCCGTAGCTGGCCATTTGACTCAGTGCCACAAATCAAATCCAAATTGGAATTATTATCCCTAGGAACCTAGGAAATCCTCAAGTCTTGAATCCAAGGTAGGGGCAAGTTGGTGGTCAGCCATGGAAGAGCACGGCCAACTAGTGTGGCCAGCCACTTCATGTACGGGAACCATGGCATGAGTGAAGAGATTGGCTGCTCGACCAGGAACACCACGCATCTCACAAACGCAAGAAGTAGAAGGAGGCAAAGACGTGCTGTAATCCTTAGCTTTAGATTGCTTGGTGGTAGTGGTAGCATGGAGCTAAAGCAAACCCAAATAAGGTGTCCTCGATCCAACTGCATGGTTTGATTTGACACATATTAAATGAGACAAAGGTCTTGTTCGCCTCCTTCACATATTCCCGCTGGCCGCCCAGGGGCCGTTGTTTGGTGCGTTTGGATGTATAGAGGTTAATGAATACAAACGACCCGCATGGTGGACCTGCAGTCACCAGTCCTCCTTCCTCCGTCTGGAGGACCATCTGCACACTGCGGAAGAAGCCCTGCCTGAGCACCGTGGGTTGGTAGCGACTTGGACCAAGGATGTGGGACAGGGTTGGCAGGACTCACAATCACTCTACAAAATTTTGTAAACCCTTCAAACCCTGAGTAGGCGACACGGTGGTAATGTCACCGAACTCTCCAGAAGTCTCTTTGTCAAATGCCTTCCTTGGGTTCTGGTTGGTACATAGATCACAGTTAGGACTTTAAATGCCAATCCAACTCTGATGTTCCAAGTAAGGCCTGCACGAGCCCAAGTTTGCATGAACTCAGAACAAATAGTGGACACACACACAGGACATGGTCAACGTTTCTAGTTGCAATTCCTGTTCGATGGAATCTGAGAATTCCACTAAATGCCCTATTGATGGCACCTTGTCCTGCAAAAAGATCGGCGTTGGTGAGATCCTGGCAGTCATGGTGTGAGGAATGCTGCAGGTTATTTCCCAAAACATATAATCACACGGGCTGAGTTGGTGGCCCTCTGGCTTTGGGAGATGGCAGAGTTCTCCACAACATAGTCAATGCAATGTAAACTCAGCTTTCCAAAGAACCGATTTAGTCATCAGTTGCGACAAAGGGCACCAGAGGAAATCTGGAACCGGGTGAAGACCATTGCAACCAAGGAGCAAGATCAACGGAGCTCCAATGGCCAATAGCAGCTGCGCTGCTTTTTTGCACTCAAGGAGAGAGGGGATTGCTTGGAGCGATCCATGGGGGGGAACAGCTGATATCGATGCCTTTCAACTACGAGTCACAGGAAACCTAAGAAGGCAGCATTGAATATTGTAATGCTAGTGATCTCACGACAGAAATGATCATACTGCAAGAAATGTAGGCGCCCCATTGTGCAAATTAGTAGTCATCAAGCATCTTTTTCCTAAACCCCAAGCGCGCAACGTAGTAGCTAAGAAACGTGGATTTGGACTAGGGCTAGCCAGGGTTGGGTGCCAGTCCCATGGTCCCCCCGAAAACAAAACCCAAAACAACAGTTGTGACACAGACACGCTGAAAAACAAAACCATGCAGTGGCGCAACCCTCCTATGCTAGCCAGTCTGACAAAACGAGGCCATGACAAAGGCCAGCAACTTCTAGTTGCAAGGTTCCTCATCAGAATCAAGTGTCGATGGAATGGGCGTCCAACCAGCCAACATCTTGGCCATGCTCCACCTAGGCCCCGACAACTGTTATTCCTGACTCCCCTAAACAAAACGAAGGTTGCTTGCAGAGCTAACTGAAAAATAATATTTGCGTCGGTTCCGGTCGAGGCCAAGACCCCATCTTGACCGCGTATTTGGACCATGCGATACTCACTCCCCTCTTCACATTGGCCTTAGAGCCAATTTTTCCAGACCCTGAAACAACTTTGTGAGCAGAAAACACCTACCAAGACAAGAAGCATTTAGAGATGTGCCCTTGAGATTGTTGAGCTCGTGCACACGTTCCTTTGGAACATTGTTCACAAAGAAGCTTCTGGTATTGAGCCTTGCGAATGCAAAATACCAGTCATACGTAAACGCGTGTACATGACCTGGGTATGTGCATCCTTGCATATGCAACAGTTGAGGGCAAAACAAGACTCCGATGGTTCCCCCACGAGAAACACCAGGCGGTGCACGGAGAGTGAACGACCTGGGCCAGTTGATCAATGGGTAAAAGCAAAGTTTAGATCGATCCAGAATCATGAATGAAGTGTGTTTGCGATGACTCAACATCTAGGGTACCCACTTGCGACACTCGATCGGTGCATCCGGATCCTTCTTATTCCCATCTTTGATCCCACGACACAACACAGCTACATCCTGTGGCAGGACGAAGGCGTCATCGTCTGCCGCCAGCTTTGCAGCCACTAGGAGCGCCTCTTCCTGGGCGTGAACCAGTTGATTCAAGGTGTCAATGTCGATCGATCCACATTGGGCGCAACATTAATCAAAATTTAAGCATGCACCGGACCTAAACTTTATAATCAACAATAGTTAATGAAAATTCCAAGTGTCGGTAACATCGACAACAGCCCTTGCTCTCTTTGTTCCACTTTTCTTGTTCTTATCCTCATTGTCTTCCTTCTCATCCTCCTCACACGCACTCTCCTCAAACAATTTTCTCCTCACTGGATCATTCTTCTCAATGCTTGCCTTTTGATGCTCAATGACCCGTTTCGAAGCCATGCGGGCCAATTTCATGGGACTCATTTTGCATGGTTTCTTAGGAGGGTTGCTTTCTCCCGTCTCCTTCGACCTCCTTTTCTTTGTGGCATCTGTCTTCTCTGCGTCCTCTGCCTCCTCATGTTCTTTGTCAGCTTTCCTTGCCTTCCGTGTCTGCTTCGCTCTCACTCCCTCCTCTTCGTTCTTGTCTTCGTTCATGATCTTTTCTTCCTTCGCCAAGCCCTTCGCCTTCTGTGTCTTCTCTGCCTGCTCTTCGCTCTGTCCTTTTTCTG